TCACTTTTTTTTTTTTTTTTTTTTTTTTTCAATTTTAAGAGATTGTATTTTTTTCAATTTTAAGAAATTTTAATTTTGTACAATTGAACATTCTAAATATTATTGTTTTTATCTTAGCTCTTCCAAAAAACCCAATATAATAACTTGTGCCTGTACCGTATTTAAACGTGGAGGAGTGCGCAGACCTGTGAGTGGTCTCTCTTGTTGTATGAGAACATGCCCTTGAATGTCATGGTGGTCCAGAGATACTGTTGACATAGAGATACCATAGGTATATTAGTACTATTCTAATCCCGATGACAGCATAGGTGGACGAACTTGCATAGTAATCATGGCCTTTGCAGAAGACTGGTTTGTAGGTTTACCTGGAGAAACTGACTAATCATGTTGTTGAGGTTGCTCAAGCTGGCCTACGAAATAGTTTGCAGCAGCCTTTGGGAGGCACCTGGATGTTTTGTTTAGTGCTTTTCGGAAACCGGAAATGAAGCGGTGAGATGGCACAATGCAGCAACGGGCTTGGACTTCCCTTTTGAGTCAAGACGAAAAATGAGGTCCGTTTGGAGTTCTACAAATTGGACTAAGTGGATGGGACACGGAAGCCTGCAGCCCCCACAGGCCCGCGCCCAAGCCATCGTGGAAGGTGGTGTCTCCTTTTCACCTAAATGATTTAAAATGGGCCAAATCACCCACCACCTAGACCTCCTCCCTAGCAGTCCCTAGGAGCAGCAATGCTGAAAAAGTGAGCTTCTCCTTTCTTCAACCCTTGAGAACCCATCCCTAGCTACACGGCCCATCTGCTTGGATTCAAAGAAACAACAGCGGGGTCTAGGAATCCAGGGAGGGTCAAGGCCGACAGAGATTGGTCAACAAATCCCTGAAATTTGGAGGAGCTTGAGCTCCCCAATTACAGGCCACTGCAAACTTCTTCGGGGGCCAGCGCTAGCAAATTAGTTTATCCAGGTACAGTAAGAATCTAACTCATAGACTTCCAACATCACAGTTGCTTTGTTTAGATGTTGGTATGAATACAAATGACAAAGGGCTTGTTGACAAAAAACCCTTACGGTTTACTGGTTTTACTTTAATGTGGTATTATTTTTGTAACATCAAATAAGATGATCACAGTGTTGCATGCTTACTTTAGGTGTTCATTAATAGGAAACTCACTGGCAAGCTTTAAATGGAGCCTACAAAGATTAACATTGTGGTTTGAACAAAAACAAGTACAACTGCGATCCAATTTATAGTCATAAAAAAGTTACCTCTGACAGATAATTGGAATTCTCTCCAGCTATATATTGGTCAAATTAATTGTTGATATTTCAGATTGTTTGAAAATATACACAACGTAGTTTTTGGGAAAGGTTTTTGCAAATTTCACTAGATATATATAGGTCTGTCTGTATGTATATATTTACATAAAGCTGCATATTATTAAATGTATATGACATTATACCTGCAGCATTTTATGTATGCCATTGGAATGCTCCACTTATTAAGTGAAAGTTGCTAGGTGTTGTTGAAAGGTTGGGGGGGGGGGGGAAATACATGTATATTTAAATAATTTTACACACACATGCATGCATATTGTACACATTTTTTTGATATTGGGACGGTCTCTCTTTAAATGTAATTTTATTTTAGATATCGCGATTATTTGTATGATAAATGTTCTCTGACTCTTATACCTACTTTCAGTTGGTGTGTATCAATACTACAGGATTTTAAATTACTGCGAATTAATTCAATATTGATTCAATATAGCACAGATTTTCACAAATACAATTTGTATGCATCCTTTAGCTAGTATTCCTGTTAAATGAATATTCATTTCATTTCAAAGAGGATACTAATCTTGCTCAATATGAATTAAACATACAGCAGATTGGTATATATTTTTTGACTATTCTCCTTGTAAATACTGTAGTATGCTGATATGAAGAAGCACAAATTATAGCTCAAATACATGTTTAATGCACTTATATTCTTAATGAAGACTCCTAATTGCTATAACCTCTTATTAAAGTAATGTACAGTATTCATTACAGTGGTGAAATATCATTGGATTTTTCTTATTGATTTCAATCTTTTCTCCTAGAAACTAGGTCTTAGTGAGTTACCTGTTGTCTTTTTGAAGCTAATATGCATGCTCACCCATTCTCAACTATCCATCACTATTAACCTCACAATTCAAGTTGTATCATGGAGTACTAACATCCTAAGGTTTGAGTATGGAGCTTGTTTGATATTCAGTAATGTTTATTATTTTGCAGTTATATACTGTGTAGTCGATTATAGGTTACTTGTTGCCTGCACATCCCTGTTTTCAATATTATCAACTTTTTGTTTGCTTTCTGGATTGTTCACATTATTTAATAAGCCAAATTACTGAAATGAGTTTCTGTAAAAAAATAGTTCTTTATATGTTGAAAATTGATTAAGGAAATGGAATTTTATTTTTATCAATAATCAATGAATTAAATATTTTCATTAATGATACAAATTGATTTTTCAAATGAACAATTTAAAAGGCTTATTAGATGGTGTTGAATAAACTCAGTTGAATTTAGTCAGTAAAAAATCATTGCATCTTTACCTCTGTCAGAAGCTACTCCAGAACCACCTCGATTTGTACAACCCTTGTCCTCTCTCACTGTCCAAGAAGGTGAAATTGCAAAGTTTGAATGCATAGCAACTGGTGTACCTAGGCCAGACATCACATGGTGTAGAGACAATCAAGAAATCAACCATGGTGGTGCCTTCAAGATACATGATGATGGCAAAGACAAGTATAGTATTACCTTAAAAGATTCTGTCCCTGAAGACTCTGGGACAATCACATGTTGGGCTGAGAATGATGTTGGAAGAACCATGTGTGGTGCTGAACTTACTGTCATTGAAGGTATCCCTTGCAGAAAGAAAGATCAGCACACAATCATGTCATTTTCAATCAGACATTTCATCCCTTTTATAGTATCTTTCTATCAAAATATATGCTTAGAAATGATCACGTTTTTCATAAATATCCCTGCCTTCTAAATACTATTAGTTCAGTGTGATTGATGTTTATTTTACTGTGTTTCAGTGTTTTCCTCATACTAGTGCTCTTCTATTTAAATTCAAATGATTTTGGTCTTGTGTGTGAAGTAATCAGATTTAAACAAATTTATGTACTATATGTTTTCTTTGCCAACAACACGTTATATCGTCATTGCGGACTTATAAAATCCACATACGCTATAAAACTAAAAGAAAATGCATACTTTTGGAGTCCGTACTGAGCCCAAAAAATCCGCAATGAAAATATAACGTGTTCAACTTTAAAATTCTCTTTAATTTGAAATGTATATTAACTTTTTGTTACAATAATACTTTACCTATAATTTTTCAATAATTATTTTTTGAATTTTAAAATTGAAGTTTTCTGTTATCTGTTGAGATAAAAAAAAGTTTCAAATGTTTAAAATATTACATTTTGATTATTATTATTAAACATCGTTCATACTTTGCTGATGAAAAGCACAAGTATTTATTAGTAGTTGACATATTTGTTGAAAACTTGTTTTAGAACCTGTGCAAACTGAAGTAACAGTTATGAAGCATGAAGAGGTAATCACTACTGAGATTAAAATGGAACACAAACCAAAAGTTACATATGCTGTTGTGGAGGAAGAAGTAGAAGAAATTCCTGCACCACCTACCTTTGTTGTACCAGCTGCTGATGTGGATGTACAAAAGGGTGCCATTGCAGAACTAAGAGCAAAGGTTTCAGGCTCACCCATGCCAGAGGTGACTTGGTACAGAGATGGCAAGGTGGTGCAACCTAGTGAGCGTTACCTAATTATGAGCGATAATGAAGGTAATGTATCTCTTATCATAGCTGATGTGCGGATTGAAGATGATGCAGAGTACCTGTGTAAGGCAATCAACAACTACGGCGTAACCTCTTGTAGAGCAGATATTATTGTTGAAGAAGGTTAGTAATCATTGTTAAATATAATATTGATAATAATAATAATTGTGTAATAATAATAATAATAATAATAATAATAATAATAATAATAATAATAAATAATTATAATAGTAATATTGATAACAATATTAATTGTGTAATAATAATAATAATAATAATAATAATATGCAATAAGTCGGACTTAAGGGGAATATTGTTATTTTCCACTTAACATCGTTTTTCTAATTGTTCTCTAATTTCCCCATTGTGTAAGTTCGCCTTAAGGTAGGTTTCAGTAACCTCATCATCATCCTCATCATCATCGTCATCATCATCATCATAATGATGATGATGATTATGTTGATAATGATGTCATCAGACTAAATGCCTCCTATACTCCATTGCCATACTCCAAATGGCATAGAATGAATGTTCATTATTTTTAATTCAGTTAAACAGTACTTGCTGATACAGACTGTTTAAGCTATGCTTAAACACAGTGTTAATATTTATTCTATTCATTAATGTGTTTCTTGTTAGTTTCTATTTAAAAAATGTTGGCATATTGGTTGTTTTAGGTATAATATTTGTATTTAATAAGCTTTACCCATTTTCAGAACCAACAGAAATGGCTGAAGCCGCCTCAAAAGCAATGCAGGAAATATTTCTTGAGCAAGCAAAAGTTGAGGCTGAGATCATAATAGCAAGTGAAGTGTACTCTGAGTCTGAGGATGCACTGGATGATGACAACTTTGAAATGGTGGAAGAAGTGGCAGCACTGACCAAAGAATTAAGTACTGAAACAGTTCCTGCAGTTGTTGCAGAAGGTGAGATTTCTATAGAAAGATAAAGTTAGTTTGGCAAAAGAAAATATATGTGGCCTACAGACCAAATGACCTAAAATCTTCTTTTTTTTTCACCAAGGAGGAGCCATAAATACTTGAATGGCATTTAAAAGCCCATTTTTTTACCTTTTAGTATAATTTTTATATATTAAGTAATAACCACGAATTTTAGGCCTATAATTAAATATTTGCATAGGGTGGGTGATGGAACTTAAACTTTTCCTTTATTATGTGAACAAATGTTAGTTTGGCAAAAGAAAATAAATGTGGCCTACAGACCAAATGACCTAAAATCTTCTTTTTTTTCACCAAGGAGGAGCCATAAATACTTGAATGGCATTTAAAAACCCATTTTTTTACCTTTTAGTATAATTTTTATATATTAAGTAATAACCATGAATTTTAGGCCTATAATTAAACATTTGCATAGGGTGGGTGATGGAACTGAAACTTTTCCTCTATTATGTAAACAAATTCCAACAATTTAGAGACCTAATTTTAATTAGGCAAAGAAATTTCAGTACTGCACTTCATCCTTGTATTCTTGCAATTACATGATATACAGGTATTTGTCTGATTTCAATTTTGGCCATTTAAAAATTATGTCTTATTGTAATATTGTAACCTAATAAGTTTATTGGTCTGTTTGTTTAGCTATGAAAATGTTTAGTATTAGAGTTATTGTTTACCATCTTAATGCTTCTTTGTTTTATTTTATTGTTATGTATCTTGGGAAAAAAATGTGTACTAAGAAAAAATAAATAAAATGCAGACCAACTGATCTGATTTGAAAATGTAACTGTGATGGTGTAACAGAACAATTTTGTTGGCCTTATTTTTCTTTCAAATTGGACTTTATTGGTTCTTGCATTTTATACAGTACATCAGCATTTCTACCTTCAATCAAACAAAGCTTTTGTTTTTGAAGAAATTTCCTATAAATTTCTATCTGTAATTAGCCTTAGTGTGATACGGTTGTATTATGAGTTATACAATTTTTATGACTCTAGGTTTTTTAACAATCTGTATTCCTGCACACTGTTAATCTATTTAAAACAGAGCCAGTGGAAGAATCAGTAGTTAAAGATGAACAATTTGAAGAGCCTAAGTTTGTTGAAGAGATGGTGGATATGGAAATAATCAAGGGGCATCCTGCTCAATTTGAGGTACTTGTATCTGGAATTCCACGTCCAATAATTAGCTGGTTTAAAGATGGCAAGGAGATCTTCCCTGATGATCATATTTTAATGGAGTATGATGAAGATGGCATGGCATGTTTAACTGTCAAAGAGACAAACAGTGATGATGATGCAGAATACACTTGTAAAGCTGTTAACAAATTTGGTGAAGCAGTATCCAAAGCAGACATTTTTATTCAACCACAATATAAAAAACCTGTTGAAGGAACAATGCCAACATTCATAGAAGAGCTAAAATTTATCAGAGCCTATGAGGGTGATAGTGTTAACTTCATCTGTAAAATTAAAGGCATGCCAGAACCAGATGTGATGTGGTACAAGAATTCAATTGAAATAAAACCTAATCCAAAGGTTTCAATGGACTATGATAAAGATGGTTTGTGCATACTTCTAATAAGAAATATTGATGTCTCAGACAAAGGAACCTACATGTGTAAAGCTGTAAATAAGATTGGAGAAGCTGTCACTATGTCAGATTTAGTCATTGAAGGTAAAGAAAGCTTGCTTGAAGTGTTTCATTACTTGCAGGCATTTGCCTATTGTGTCATGGTACCAGATGATGATTAGGAAGTTCTTGCAATGCTTGTTGTGTTCATGCACCTGTAGGCATAAATGTTTCTAATATTTCTTTAATTTTACTGATGGTATTATTTGCTTGTTGTGTCATTAAATCAATCATTTTATACTGGCATGCATATTCATTATCAATGTCTTCTCAAATTATCTGAGAAAAGCATTTAAATATATTATTAGCATAGAGTTCTTTAACTAACCAATTTACTTGTCTGAAAATTAGTTTAGGCCACAATTTGCTGTAGGAGAGTGTGGAAACTCCATACAGACAAGAATAATTAGATAGAAAGTGTTTCATGCAATTCTTAAAATGTTGAAACAAAAACAAAAAAGCACTGTTATGAAAGGAAGCAAATATAATTGTAATTTTGTTTTTATTATGATTTTCGTTGTTAAGACCTATCCATTATAGGAATGATCATAATCCACAGAGGTTGGATATCTAGTGATAGTCAAAACATAAGGCTCCTTTTAATCTACCACTATTTTATATGTTAAAATTGTAAAGTCTTGTATATGATTGATATTTATTCTTTTTTTGGATGCTTTTTTAAAATGATTTGTATATATAGAATTCAAAAGCACTAATATTATAGTTGTCTGTTTTTAGCACTTAGTAAATTGCCATGATTAGTGTTTGATTGTATTATTCATGATTGTGAATGTATTATTTATTTTAATATATAGTGTGCTATTGAAAATTAATAGAATTTCGTAATTACATATTTTGTTTGTGTCCATCGTTGTAGTTATTAGTTTGCATGCATGAATCTTTTTGATCAGTGGCAGATTAAAGGGAACCCAGCTGGCCCGGACCTCCCTAAATCTCTAAAAATAAAAAAAAATTTGAGAAAAAAAGAAAATTCTGCTCAAATTTTGAGTGTAAGAGTGTCATTTCTGGCCTCTAGAGGAGCCATAATCATAAATTTTCATTCTTCAGCCCCAACAATGGTGGGGCTGAGGTAGTATGGACCCTCCATCAGTGAAAATCCCACTCTGGGCCCCCTCTTTTAAGTTCCTTGATCTACCAATGCTGATGCAATTTACAAGAAAATGTGTTGTCTAAAAACATTAAAATTAACCACTAATTGGCACACAAAAATGTATTTTTATAAAAAAAAAAAAAAAAAAAAGAACTTTAGAGCGAAAGATAAAATGAAATCATTTGGAAAAACCAGGCAAGTGAGTGAGGGTAGGAAAATTATATAGTTTATATTATACGAAAATTAAGATATGAAATATATGTAAACAACATTTATGTAGGAAATTATAAAATGTGAACAATATTTATACAGTGTTCTTTTATGTTAGTATGCATCAATCTTTATAAAATTTTATAATAAAAATGAAATATGTATATATGAAAAACAAATATAATAATAATAATAATGTTATTTTGTTAGGCACATTTATCCATCCCTAGTAGGGGTGCTCGCGGCGCCGTTTTCCACCTGCCGAGTGTGCATGTAGCCATTTTCTGCATTATTATGTGAATTAATTAATTTAATTATTTATTTACTCATTAACGTATATTTATTTGTGTCGGACCAGACAGGATGGGAAAGATCTGAGTATAGATCTGAGTATTCTGTGAATTTTTTTATTTATCATGCTTAGATCCATTTGTTTCTGTGGTTCAATGCAAATGTTCAAAATTATTTTATTAACTTAGAGTTGTTTTCCCTCTGAATCTTTTTCACATTTTTGTCAATTCTCATTTATTGTAGATGTAGTTATGCCACCATAAGTATAGTTTTACAGTAATTACTGTATTTATTAATTAATATAGCAGCTTTTTTTATGCATATTTTTTTTTTCAGATTTAGCCAACATCAGTATTTCTTTGATCAATACTTACTTTATTACCATACTTATAAAACTCAATAATTCTTTTTCTGATATTCTGCTCAATGCATCACTTAAGTTCATTAACATTTCATTTTTTCATCCATTGTCATAACATTCTTGCTGTCATTGCTATTTTCATTTCCTTAGTCCCAGCAAAGATTTTGGATGGGCCATCAACAATTACTGTCAATGCTGGTGAATGTATAAAAGCAACCTTCACATTTACTGGATTTCCAGTACCAACAGTGTTCTGGTCACGAGGTTATGTTGAAGTTGAGGAGACCGAACATATTCATGTTGAGACTCTTGAGACTGAAACTAGTTTGTTGATTGATAAATGTGTTGCTAGTGATGCTGGAGAGTACGCTGTTGAAGCAGAAAACAATGCTGGTGGACAAGAGCGATATGTTAATATTATTGTAAAGGGTAAGTTAAAAACTACAAATAATAGTGAATATTTTTCCATAGTGATGTCCAAATATAATATTAATTCAATGTGATATTTGAGTATTACTGGAAAGTTATTTTTATTACAAATAAACTAAATAAATCTAAAACAAGGTTTGTTAGGATTTATAACTAAATTAATGTTCCAACATTTCAAAAAAAAACTTCCTCGTGTATCTACAGTGATGGATTGAACAATAGTATCCATGAGGATATTGCAACCACACAAAAGGCCACTGATAGTGAATTCTTTCCTTTATGCATATTATATTGTGTATGTATCCAATTTTATTAATAATCTTTTGAAAATGATGTAGATGTTCCTGGCAGTCCAAGCAAACCTCAAGTTTCCAAGATTACAAAGACATCAGTCCAGCTAACCTGGCAACCACCGCACATGGATGGTGGATATGATGTCAGTCAGTACCATGTGGAACAGCTTGATTTTCATCAACATACATGGACCCTTGTCAAATCCTACAGCAATATGTCTGTTGAGATAGATAACCTATACCCTGGAAATGAGTACTGCTTTCGTGTCAGTGCTGAGAACATTCTTGGTGTTGGAGCACCTAGTGAAGAATCTGATACCATTACTACAGACAAATCACCAGGTAGATTTTTATATAAGTTTACCAAATGAATTATTGAATTAAATTTTTAAAAACTAGATTTTAATGAATTCTAATTTTTGCACTTCAAATAATAATGAGTTCCATTCTAAAACATTATACTGTATAACAATATGGTTTACTTTCATTTTGTATGCATTTATATACTTTAGCTTTTGAAGTTTGTTGTTTTTGTGTTTATTTTCATTTCAGTAATTTGTTTAGGTTAATTGATTTTTATCGTAAAATGCTATGTAGTGTATGTACTTGGATTAAATGTTAGTACTGTACCGACTAATAAGCAACTTTGTCTTTATATTGATAGAGCCACCAAGATCGTTGGATAAGGTCGACACTTTGGGACCCCGAGGTATGACAGGACTCGCTGATCTTCTAGAGTGGGATGTAGTGGGCCTATTGGCTGTATTTGTGGCTTTCTGCTATTTGTTAATGTCATTCATAATTTAATGATACTAAAACAGCATTGCAGCAATTGGATGAAAGACAGTAAAGTTGTTTATTGAAAGTAACAATACAAAGTTGATAGTAGATGTTGGTAGCATGGTACCATTTGTCAGGCTTGTCAAGCATGACCTGCATGTGATTGGAGTGACAATTCACAATGAACGTCTTGAAGATAATTGAAGTGTAGATCCTTTGAAACACAGTGACAAAATTAGTTAACTGAACATGACATAATTTTTCTTTTTTCATAGTCTTTCACATTTTAAAGTTCTTAAGAATGAGTTGTTTACAATGTGTTTGTTAGCTTCTGTTGGTGTTTAATACCATATATATAGAAAATAAATTAACATAAACTAAAGTTTAAAAATTAAGGAAAGATGCCTTTTGGTAGGAGTTACATTAAATTAAGTATTGGGCTATAATAATTTTGTATAACATACTTAATAATTACAAATGTGATAAATTATTAAATTTAATGATACCTAAAACACATTAATGTTGAATAAAAAAACATTTTTGTCAGTTGATTGTAAGATATAGTACTTAAATCTTGATGCATGTCTAGAAAGAAAATGCTGTAGGTTTAAATATTAAATTGTTTGTTAACTTACATAACATTTGTTTTTCTAATATGTTTGTATTTTTGCACCAATGGCATGTACAATTTGTTTTAATCACCTTGTTTGTAGATAATATTAGATGTGTATGTATGTTAGTGACAACCTAAGGAATTTTGTATATATATATACTGTCTCTTATACACATCAAGATGTGTATAAGAGACAGCATTATATTTTTATATGCTTATTTTTAAACTAAAATGAATTATTTTTTCATATTGATCTATTCATTAATTTTGTGAATACTAAATGATACTTTATTGAAATAACACGTATACATTCTTTCTTTGTTTGATGTATTGATATGCATTTAATATAAACATTTCTCATTATGTGATATAGAAAATGTTGTTCTATATTAAAGTACTAAAAATTATTTAAGTCTGTGATTTTGATTACTCTTTCATTTACATTAAGTGTAGCAACAAAGACATATAAACACAAATGGACAACCACTACTTTCAAGTTACATAGATGAACCCTGCACAATTTAACATATGCTTACTAAATTTAAATTATAAACTGCTGCTTACACATAGTAATGCGACTGTTGCTGGAGTAACTAGGTCATGTGTATAGAAATTGAACTTCATTCCACATACTAAATTTTGAATACTAGAATTGCTTTTACTTTAATATCAGTTTGTCTGCATATGGTTACAGTACCGACATAGTTGCTTATCACCGTTAATTAAAATCATCATTTATATCAAATTTCAATATTGACATTTTTGCTATAGAGCATGCATGAGTCCAATCATTATTCCTGACCTTGCATGTTTCATCCAATATAGCTCCAACATTTACAAGACCATTGCACGACACTGATGTTGCTGAAGGTGATAATGTACAGATGGAATGCGTAGTTCAGGGTGAACCAGAACTGGCGATAATTTGGTACAAAGATGGTCAGGTTATTAGTGATACAGGACGGTTTACTTTCTACCATGGTGCTGACGGTACATGTAGGGTTTCAATAGAGAGTGCTATACAGCAAGATGAAGCCTTAATAACATGCTCTGCAACTAATCAAGATGGCTCAGCTACCACAAGTGCACACCTTATTGTCGACATATTTCAAGGTTTGATGCACGATTCATACAGCTGAAACATTGACAATTAGATTAAAGCTCATAAAATAATTTATCATTATCACATATAGAATAGATTTTAGGTGTCATGTTGCCTCTTCCCTTTTGTTTTAATATGTTTTCGAAAGTAAATTGTAGATTTACAAAAAATGTTTAAACCCACAGAAGCAACTGAATTCATGTCTGAAAGATTGGAAACTTTACCGGAAAAGGATGAACCAAATGCAATTTCCTCCGTGGTTAGATTTCTTGAGGAAACACCAATTAGCACTCCTCCAGAATTCTACTCTACACCACCTGAGGATATATATGTAGAGCAGCAACTTCAAGAAATTGGTCCTGAGAAATTCTCATCAGACACTCTCATTGTGACAGCTGAATATTCATCTATGGAGGAAGTGGCAACCGTCATCGAAACGGTGACTGAAGACACAAATATAGTGCATGAAGAGGCAATAGTTGGACCAGTAGCAGAAGACATGGTTACTCTAACAGAATCTTCAGATGAAAAGGCTGACATAAGTACTAAGAAGCCAGTGACTACTGTTGACACTGTCGAAGTTGTAACGCCAATACCAAAAACGGAAACTACTGCTGAATTTGAAATTGCAGAAATTATGAAGCCAGTAACAGAGGAAATAGTGGGAATTATTGACAATGTCAGAATTGAAGAGACAGAAGAGGTGATTACTTCAAAAATTGACATTACAGAGACTGTAAAGCCATTAATAGACGGGCAGGAAAAACAAGTCCCAGAAAAAGAAGCTACTGCAAAAATTGACGTAGATTCTGTAAAACTTGTAACTGAAGAGGAAGTCACAGTTGTTAAAACTGTCGAAAGACTAGAAGCAGATGAGAAGCAAACTATTAAACGTGATATTACTGAAGCTAAGCCAGTAATGGAGGAGGTAGTAAAAGTTGTTGACATAGTCACTATCGAAAAACCTGTGTTTAGAAAGAGGGAAACTGCTAACGTTGATATTACAGAGGCTGTAAAAGCTGTAATGCATGAGGAGTTTACAGTTGTTGACACAGTGTCAATAGACAGACCAATGCCAAAAGAGATGTTAACGGTTAAAGGTGACACAACAGAGACCGTGAAGCCAGTAATAGACGATGTTGTGACAATCATCGACACAGTCAAAATTGAAAAACCAGTACAAGAAAAAGAAGTTACTGCCATAGTTGACATTATGGATACTGTGAAACCTGTGGTGGAAGAGAAACTTACTGTTATCGACAAACCAGCACCAGATGAAAAAGTAACTGCCAAAGTTGGCATTAGAGAATCGGAGAAGGCAGTAACAGACGAAATAGTGACAATAATTGACACAGTTGAAATTAAGAAACAAGTGCCAGAAGATAGGGTAGCTGCAAAGGTTGACATTACAGAAGCTGTGAAACATGTAACACAAAAGGAGTTTACAGTTATTGACACTGTTGCAATAGGCAAACCAGTGCCAAAAAAGATAACTGTTGAGGTTGACACAACAGAAACCGAAAAGCCAGTAACAGACGAAGTAGTAACAATTATTGACACAGTCAAGATGGAAAAACCAATACCAGAAAAAGAAGTTACTGCCAAAGTTGACATTATAGATACTGTAAAACCTGTGACGGAAGAGGAAGTTACTGTTGTTGACACATTTGCGATTGACAAACCAGAACCAGATGAAAAGTTAACTGCCAAAATAAGCATTACAGAGATGGAGAAGGCAGTAACAGACGAAATAGTGACAGTTATCGACACAGTTGAAATTACGAAACAAGTGTCAGAAGAAAGTATTGCTACAAAGATTGACGTTATAGAAGCTGTGAAACCTGTAACACAAAAAGAGCTTACAATTATTGACACTGTTGCAATAGGCAAACCAGTGCCAAAAGAAATAATAACTGTTGAAGTTGACACGACTGGAACCATAAAGCCAGTAACAGACGAAGTTGTGACAATTATCGACACAGTCAAGATTGAAAAATCAGTGCCAGAGAAAGAAGTTACTGCCATAGTTGACGTTATAGATACCGTGAAATCTGTGGCGGAAGAGGAAGTTACTGTAATTGAAACAGTCGCGATTGACAAACCAGTACCAGATGAGAAGGTAACTGCCAAAGTTGCTATCACAGAAACGGAGAAGGCAGGAACAGACGAAATAGTGACAATAATTGACACAGTTAAAATTAAAGAACATGTGACAGAAGAAATTTTTGCTTCAAAGATTGACATTACGGAGACCGTGAAGCCAGTAATAGACGAAGTAGTGGATATCATCGATACAGTCAATATTGAAAAATCAGTGCCAGAAAAAGAAATTTCTGCCAAAGTTGACGTTATAGATACTGTGAAACCTGTGACAGAAGAGGCAGTTACTGTTGTGGACACAGTCGCGATCGACAAACCAGTACCACATGAAAAAGTAACTGCCAACGTTGACATTACAGAGACAGAGAAGGCAGTAACAGATAAAATAGTAACAATAATTGACACAGTTAAAATTAAGAAACAAGTGCCAGAAGACAGTGTTGCTGCAAAGGTTGGCATTACAGAAACCGTAAAGCCGGTAATAGACGAAGTAGTGACAATCATCGACACAGTCAAGATTGAAAAATCAGTGCCAGAAAAAGAAATATCTGCCAAAGTTGACATTATAGATACTGCCAAACCTGTGACTGAAGAGGAAGTTATGGTTGTTGATACTGTAGCCATTGACAAGAAAGTATCAGATGAGAAGATAACTGCCATAGTCGGCATTACAGAAACAGAGAAGGCAGTAACAGATGAAATAGTGACAATAATTGACACAGTTAAAATTAAGAAACAAGTGCCAGAAGAAAGTGTTGCTGCAAAGGTTGGCATTACAGAAACCGTAAAGCCGGTAATAGACGAAGTAGTGACAATCATCGACACAGTCAAGATTGAAAAATCAGTGCCAGAAAAAGAATTATCTGCCAAAGTTGACACTATAGATACTGCCAAACCTGTGACTGAAGAGGAAGTTACGGTTGTTGATACTATAAGCATTGACAAGAAAGTATCAGATGAGAAGATAACTGCCATAGTCGGCATTACAGAAACAGAGAAGGCAGTGACAGACGAAATAGTGACAATAATTGACACAGTTAAAATTGAAAAACAAGTGCCAGACGGTGTGGCTCCCAAGGTTGACATTACAGAAGCTATGAAACATGTAACGCAAAAGGAATTTACAGCTATGGAGACTGTCGCAATAGGCAAACCATTGCAAAAAGAGATAACTGTTAAATCTGACACAACAGACACTGTAAAGCCAGTAATAGACGAAGTTGTAACAATCGTTGACACAGTCAAGATGGGAACACCAGTACCAGAAAAAGAAGTTTCTGTCAAAGTTGACATCATAGATACTGTGAAACCTGTGATGGAAAAGGAAATTACTGTTGTTGATACAGTCACTGTTGACAAACCACTGCCGGATGAAAAAGTAACTGCAAAAGTTGACATTACAGAAACAGAGAAGGCAGTGACAGATGAAACAGTGACAGTAATGGACACAGTTAAAATTAAGAAACATGTGCCAGAAGAAATTGTTGCTGCCGAAGTTGATATTACAGAAGTTGTGAAACCTGTAATTCAAAAGGAGTTTACAGTTGTTGACACTGTCGCCATAGACAAACCAGTGCAGAAGGGGATGGTAACTGTTAAAGGTGACACAACAGAAACCGTCAAGCCAGTAATTGACGAAGTTGTGACAATTATTGATACAGTCAAGATGAGGGAATCAGTACCAGAAAAAGAGGTTTCTGCTAAAGTTCACATTATAGATGCTGTGAAACCTGTAAGAGAAGAGGAAGTTACAGTTGTTGACACAGTCACAGTTGACAAGCCAGTATCAGATGAGAAGGTAACTGCCAACGTTGGCATTACAGAGACTGAGAAGGCAGTAACAGACGAAATAGTGACTATAATTGATACAGTTCAAATTAAAAAACAACTGCCAGAAGAAAGTGTTGCTGCCAAAGTTGACATTATAGATACTGTGAAACATGTGACAGAAGAGGCAGTTACTGTTGTTGACACAGTCGTGATCGACAAACCTGTACCACATGAAAAGGTAACTGCCAACGTTGACATTACAGAGACAGAGAAGGCAGTAACAGATGAAATAGTGACAATAATTGACACAGTTAAAATTAAGAAACAAGTGCCAGAAGAAAGTGTTGCTGCAAAGGTTGGCATTACAGAAACCGTAAAGCCGGTAATAGACGAAGTAAAAAAGTAACTGCAAAAGTTGACATTACAGAAACAGAGAAGGCAGTGACAGATGAAACAGTGACAGTAATGGACACAGTTAAAATTAAGAAACATGTGCCAGAAGAAATTGTTGCTGCCGAAGTTGACATTACAGAAGTTGTGAAACCTGTAATTCAAAAGGAGTTTACAGTTGTTGACACTGTCGCCATAGACAAACCAGTGCAGAAGGGGATGGTAACTGTTAAAGGTGACACAACAGAAACCGTCAAGCCAGTAATTGACGAAGTTGTGACAATTATTGATACAGTCAAGATGAGGGAATCAGTACCAGAAAAAGAGGTTTCTGCTAAAGTTCACATTATAGATGCTGTGAAACCTGTGAGAGAAGAGGAAGTTACAGTTGTTGACACAGTCACAGTTGACAAGCCAGTATCAGATGAGAAGGTAACTGCCAACGTTGGCATTACAGAGACGGAGAAGGCAGTAACAGACGAAATAGTGACTATAATTGATACAGTTCAAATTAAAAAACAACTGCCAGAAGAAAGTGTTGCTGCCAATGTTGACATTACAGAAGCTATGAGACCCATAACGCACGAGGAGTTTGCAGTTGTTGACACAGTCGCAATAGACAGTTCAGTGCCCAAAGAGGTGTTAAGTGTCAAAGTTGACACAACAGAGACCATTAAGCCAGTAATAGACGAAGTTGTGACAATCATTGACACAGTCAAAATGGAAAAACAAGTGCCAGAAAAAGAAGTTACTGCCAACGTTGGCATTATAGATACTGTGAAATCTGTGACGGAAGAGGAAGCTACTGTTGTAGACACAGTAAAGATTGACAAACCAGTACCAGCTGAGACGGTAACTGCGAAAGGTGACGTTACTGAAGTAGTGACGCCAGTAATAGAGGAGGTAGTGACAATTGCTGGTACAGTCACTATCGAAAAACCTGTCCCTCAAAAGAGAACTGCCAACATTGACATTACAGACACCATGAAGCCGGTAATAGACGAAGCAGTGACAATCATCGGCGCAGTCGAGATTGAAAAATCAGTACCAGAAAAAGAAACTTCTGCCAAAGTTGACGTTATAGATACTGTGAAACCCCTGACAGAAGAGGAAGTTACAGTTGTTGACACGGTTGCGATCGTGAAACCAGCACCAGATGAAAAGGTAACTGCCAAAGTTGGCATTACAGAGACGGAGAAGGCAGTAACAGACGAAATAGTGACAACTATTGACACAGTCAAAATTGAAAAACAAGTTCCAGAAAAAAGTGTTTCTGCCAAGGTTGACATAACTGAAGTTGTGAAACCTGAAACGCATGAGACATTTACAGAAATTAACACAGTTGCATTTGACAAATCAGTAAAAGAAGAGGAGGTAACTGCAAAGCCTGGCATTGCTGAGAGCATTACTGCAAATGTTGACATTAGAGAGGTGGTGAAAATTACAGAAGATAAAGTTACGGTTCTTGACGCACCTGTAATCGAAAGATCAATACCAGAAGAGAAAATTGACGTCAGTCTGATAGCTACTCTTGATGACACATTTACGATTTATAAACAAGTGCCAGAAGAGACGGCAATTGCACAAGTTGCAGAAGCTGTCAAATCTGTGTCAGAAAAAGTGGATACAGCCGTTGATGTAATCCCCATTGACAAAGGAGTGTCGAAACAGTCTGTAACTTCGAAAATTGACATCACAGAGGATCAACCACTTGTTGACAGCATCACAATTAAAGAATATGTGTCAGAAGAGATCACATCGAGAGTAGATATTGACGCCGAGCCTTTTATTGAAAGCACTGTTACTGTACAAGATGCTGTAAAGATAAAAGAATCTGTTCCGGAGTTTAAGGTTGATTTTGAAGTTACTGAATCAGAAGAACCTGTCACAGAGGAAATATATACATCAATCCCTGTCGCTGCTAAAATCATCGAACCGTTTGACGATAAGGTATAGTAATGGTTTATGTTCAAATGCTTCGAACTTCTTTTCACATAGGCCTACTATAAAATACTTGTTTTAGTTTGTTGATATGTTACTATTTTCAGTGATATAAAAAAGTAAAATTAATGTATCATGCTAATGCTAAGTTATGCCCATTGCTTGGGCCTATATTTAATATAACTATTCTTTCTTAAATTTATTTTGAAAACACCTTCATATTTTGTTTTGGTTATAACTATAAATTTATTCTGATTCTGAGGCCCCAGTTGGACAGCCTTAGTGCGTCAATTTAAGTTACCTTATTTCCCCCTACAAAGATATGGAATCTTCCCCACTTATTTGCTCTTTGCATACTAATGTCAAACTGTACCTATTTTGTTGATATCAGATAACACTATAATGCTAACACTATTTAAAATTGTGTGTAAAAATTGGTATGAATATGAATATGTTTTGCATGTTTTCTTTTAACTTATCGACATAAAAAAATGAATACGCCAACTTCTCAACTTTTAGGAAGCTTTTGATGGTGACAATGTTACATTTATTTGCACTGTAAGTGGAACTCCTCGTCCAAATGTCAGTTGGTTCAGGTATGCTATCTTTCAGCTGTTTGAATATTGTATGCTCTATAGTGACTTATATTATCAATATCTGCTCGACCCCTACATAGTATGCCTATGGTGTACATGATTCTTAATTTTCTGATGACATGTAAACAAGCCTACAAGCTTGTGTTTACTATTTTAATAAATGGTTTTATTTGTATTTCTATATTTTATTTTGTGAATAATTCAATTTATATTTTTTGAAGATTATACCTAACGTAAAAGAAAGAACAAAAATCTAATCTGTCATTTCTAGTTGTATTCCAATATTTACACTGCTGACTGCATTGTTTGTATTTTACAATATTAATATTGCTAATATGTGCTTAATTTAAATTTTATTATTATTAGTATTATTATTATTATTATACGGTTGTGTAATATTTATTGTAAAATGGAAAGTTGAAGAAATATTACTTGAAATAAATGTGGGTGTGACTCCCACAGAAGAGAAAGAAAAGCCTGCATGTGAAGTGATGACACTTTAATATTACCGACAGGAATGGAGTCGAGATACACACTGATGAAGATTACATTTTTGATTACAAAGAAAATATTGCAACATTTGAGATCCCAGATGCTATACCAGAGGATTCAGGGGAGATAACTATAAGAGCATCGAATGCTGCGGGGGAAAGCTCTTGCTCAGCAACACTTGTTGTGTCTGGTACGCAAGTATTGAATTTATTTTTTCTCATTTAATAGCCAAATTGAGAGTTGAGTTGAGGTGATACAGATACAGAAACAGATTCAACTATTGTCTATTGATTGGTCTTGATAAAAAATTGTCTGAATATCTTTTACTGTTGCAGAAAAACTGTTTCTCCCAACTTTCCTCAACAAGCCAAGTGACCTGGAAATCATGGAAGGTATGAATTGTGCACCGTAATGAATACGTTTTAAATATCATTTTATCTTCAACTTGATTATACTAGGTGAAAAGGTTTGTCTGTCTGTTGCTTTTGCAACATTTCTGTATGACCTGTATCTTGCTATTCAGTCTAACGATCAGTCAATCCGAATCACATTTTTTAATCAATTTAAAAACCAATAGATAATAAAGTATTATTTTTAACATAATTATTTTCCATTAGTTTATGATCTGATAAATGTATTAGAAATGTGTTGTTTGATTTTAAAATGTTTGAGGAGGAATAGAAATTGGTTTGAATAACACATTGTGTATATTATGTAGGTGATAGTGCTGAAATCCGATTCCGAGTTGATGGCAATCCATATCCTCACGTTTCGTGGAAAAAGGGATGGAAGCCAGTTGTTTCTAGTGAACAGTATACAGTGACAGTTGACAAAAGTACAAAAGAACATATTCTCATTATCCATGGAGCCAACGTGACAGATGCTGGGAACTATATCTGCTCTATAACGAACACAGAAGGTGAACAAAGACATCGGGTTCACATAAAAGTTAACCCTAAACCGACGGAGAAAATGTCATTCCTTCGTGCACTGAAGAAGTAAGTTGTTGGGGTCTGAAAACTTTAAATACATTAAAAAACGATTTTGCTATCTAACTACACCATTTGTAGTCAGCTTCTCTGGTGGTAACCATGTGTGTGCTGAATTGTGGAGATATCTTAGTCCCCAGTTTAATTCCCACCGCTGTTCTCATTGTGTTTCAGCATGGCTGAAATGCAAGTTGCAAATTTCAAAGCGCACCGTCTTTCGGATGAGACGTTTAAGCAATTTTCCAATATGGCCCTTGTGCACGTTAAAGAATGCAGTACACTATTCGGAAAAGAACAGGGGATTCGTCTCCCGGTGTACTTTCCAATTACCACCAGGGGCGGATCCAGAGATGTCCAAAAGGTGGGGGGGGGGGCGAAATTTGGGCCGATTGAGACGTTGTGGGCTATCATGTTTTTCTTTTCTTTTTTTTTCTTTTTTTATCTCCCAAAAGCCGGGGCCGCCCCCACCCTAAATCCGCCCTAACCACTTTCGAGGGTTATCCTTGGTGTTCACGCCGAATAAATCCATCCATCCATCCATCTATTCGTTAAAGTGATGACATATAATGGACAGATATTTTGATATGATACACATTGTTAAGGAGTCATAAAAGGAGGATCAGACAAAACACAAAACATAGAAACGACATTTTCGGAAAGAACCACTATAAAATACATACAATAGTTGTAATTATAATACTAGTGCGTAATATTGAAAACGCAAATTGTAAGCATATCTCGATTTCGGTTGGGACACAAATTTGCTAAGACAAAGCTGAAATGCAAACACACGCGTCTACCTCACCCCTCCATAAATATCTATATATTAAAATTGATAATAACGTATTAATAGATAATAACGTATTATTCAGTCTTAACAGTCTTTAATTTAGTGCGACGGTTTGGTTTACATTGTGCATATTATGTAGGTGATGATGTTGAATTCCTATTCCTAGTTGATGGCATACTTATCCTCACGCTGGCTTCTAATCGGATCGGTTATATGGCGTCTGCATAGACAGCAGAAGGTTCCAGATTCGAATTCCAGTTGGGGTACCCTTTTTTCACACTCGCATATTCCTCATATTTAATGTTTAAAATTCATTTATATATTTAGAGCATTACTGCAAGACGTAGAGTTTGTTTTTATTATATCATGATTTATTTCGATACTAAATTATATATAACTATATATAGTAAAAATGAATAGGAAACGAATACCATGTATGGATTTTTTTTGTCTTTTGTGGGGTTTCACCAACTTCTATTTCATTTTTTTTATTTTAATTTTTTCCTCATTTGTGACAATATACCAGAGTGTTACAAAAATGAATTAAAATAAATAGGTTACACTTTTTCACATGCATGGCGCACATACTCGTACAACGATAAAATGGGTCAGTTCATAAAGGCTAACCAGTGAATTTTCATATTTGATCTCATAGTATTTCTTTCATATATATTATTAGTAAATAACTAATATATTATTCATCCACAATGCGGAATATCATACGTGTAATAAAATATTGCAAGAAACCAGCTAAAAATTGTAAAATAGATACTGTTTAATCGGGTATTATTAACAGTTGCTAATGTGAAGGGAGAGACGTTCCCACAATATGCCGACTGCATGGGAATGGCTTATAAACAAACAGTATATTAACAAATATAAACCTTCTCATTACCAACTGTTTATAGTATATACCCAAATTATCATTATTTATATTAAATTGACTATTTTATTTCGATATTTATTGTTTGTTTTTTTTCTTTTTTTCTGGTTTTTTTTTTTTTTTTTTGTGCATTTCCATGGTTTACGTTTGTAACTTAAATTTTAATTATATATTATTTTGATTTCAGGCACAAATCACCAGAATTAAAGAAGGAAAACGTTGAAATTAACATATTTGAACTTTTGAAAGACGCCAAGCCCTCCGAATACGAAACTATTCTCAGAGCCAATAAAATTGCTGACGCTAAAATTATTGCAAAGCATATTGATACAATGAAGAAACACAATGATGATAAAGAAACAACACATGTAGGTTGTCAATCAATACCTTGTATTTTTATTGAAAACTTTAATAATACCGTATGATATAATAATGCTATATTTATAGAGGACATATTACAATGCATCTATATGCATTACACAAGAAGTATAATAAAAAGGATTTAGAAAATAATAACTAATTATAACAATTTATAATGATGATGATGATGACGATGACGACGACGACAACGATGACGACGACGACGACTAAATTGTGGTTGGCTGTTTGTACTCCAAAAAGGAACTCATCTGCCATTTGCTAAGCGGCTGGGTTGCAATAATATAATTCCCTCAGCAGCGCCACAATTCAATCTCAGTTTGGCTGTCAGTGTAGTCCCCGACGACTCGAGTAAAGTTTATGTCATACCCAGGTATATTTACTGTTTGTTGATACTTTTGTATTGTAAAGACGAATAGATTAATGGAATGAATATTTTAACGTTTTGACAAATTCTAAATTTGCTCTATAGGAATTCGTACCAGAAGATTCTAAACCACACCATTTCACTGAGGAAAAACATATATCAGAACTAATGCAGGCTGCAAGCACTGAGGCTGTGATAAAACAAGATTCTTTTAAGCCAGGTGAATCACCCAAATATCTACAACCAGTGGATGTTCACCACACAGAAAAACGGGTAGATTCAGATTCTGTGATTGGGACAAAAGAGAATATACTCATATTTTCCAAAGAACCAGAGGAGTTGGAAGAGCCTACAGAGGTTGAAGAAGACAAGGTAGATATGAAAGGGCCAGTTGAAATAGAGACTGAAGGGCCTGTAAAAGAAGTTGAAAAGGGAAAAGCAGAAATGGAAGAGCCTGTGGAAATAGTCGATAAATTAAAGTCGGAGAGGAAAGAGCCTGTGGGAGAAGATGGGAAAACAAAAATTATGATGGAAGAACATGTGGAAGAGATCGATAAAGTGAAATTAAAGATGAAAGAGCAAGTAGAAGAGGTCGTGAAAGTCGATACTGAATTTACTCTACGTTCTAAACCAAAACATCCTAAGGTTGATGAACCGGATACAGCATTTGCTTTGAAGCACTCCGAGGAAACGCATTCGTTACCAAAGGCAATTGTAACTGAAGAAGTTGTGGACAGTTTTGAAGAGGAGACCATAGTAGAGAATTTCCCACGCGAAATTGGTAAGTTCCGTATTATTGGTGTAATTTTGCCCTACCTGACGTGGTATTATTGTTTTTATTTTGACTTTATACTCGTGAAAAAAACTAAGTGCTTTAAATTGTTGATGAATCTGTCTCGATTCAATTTCGCGTCTTAAATAAATGAGGTTATTACACCTTTGCCCGATAATTTATTTGTAACTTACTAGGTTTATTACATTTTTCTAATATTGAGTTTTACATTTTAGATTTTTTTACATAGAAACTATATACATCATAAGACCACTGAAGGGTGTAAATTTCACAAACGCAAGGGCGTCGCTGTGGATTTTGAAATCACCATTGTAGATGTAAACGTAATTATGAGCGAAAGACAAAGTGCTGAATAAAGCTGATTCCAGCAGAGATGTCACATTTTAGTGAATTAATTAACAAAACGAAACCCATTTTCGATTCTTTGGCTGAGCCCATTGTGTAAATTTTCTATGTAGAACATCGTACACTTTTCTGTCTGTTTCTTTCATTCCGTTTCAAAACCAATGGACTAGTATTTGCATGGTAAATTAAGAAATTCATACTAATGATTTTTGATAACGTTCAAATACAGCAAATTTGAGGACTTTTTACAGCCAAATTAAATTGAGCGGTGGTTGACAATTGTATGGAGTACTGTCATCTATCGGTTGGATGTTATACAAACACCTTGGTTGAAAAATACAATGTATTACTTGTTGATAGTAAATCCTTCGATAATATAAGCCTACCATAAAATTTGGTATTTTTAAAAATCTATGTCACTTTTCCATTCTGAATGTAATGACTGCTATTAGTTGGTTTGTCTCTGTAGTTCATTCAAAGCAAACATTCCTCTTCCAATTATAAAAAAAACACATTCTTCTTTCAGAGAAATATAAGCACATTATTGAAACAGAGGCAATAGAAATCCCGGTTGAGGCTATTGAGAAAGAAGGAACTGTTCTGAAGCCAAAAACCCAGGCTCAGGCTCCGTTCTTTGAAATAAAACCACGTGCAAAAGACGTAGAAGAAGGTAAACATTTTTTGCTACAGTTATTATTTGATCTATGCTGTATTTCTCATTCATACGACTAAGGCTGAGTAAGGTCACAGGCGAGTCTCAAATATTCGAATGAATGCTATGTCTCTCTTATGTTAACGTAGATAATAAAAACAGTGCTCGAAAAGGAACATGTAATAATCGTATCATGCAAAACCCTTCAACGAAAAGTGTTTAGTAGTCGAAAAACATCTCCGGCGGGATTCGATCCTGCAGCCTCTCATTTTCATGTTGGATTTTTCAAACAAAACTACAATTTTAGTAAAATAGCAACATGATTCTCTACGATTTGCCAAATATTTAAAAATATTTGACTTTGAACTCTGGCCTTTCGCCACATTTTTAATATGAGTTACTAGAACAGAAATTAATTTTTACTACCCTAAGCAATGCATTGCTAATACAGTGCGGTAAGGTGTTTTTTACTTATAACATTGTTTCTTTATTGCACTATTTTTACAACTGCAATAAAAAAATAACATTGATTTTATCGGTTCATTTTATAATTATTTGTAGGAGAAAGAGTCGAATTTCGTTTCAATGTCCACGGGTTTCCTATGCCCAGCATAGAACTTACCAAATCTAACAAGAAGGTTATAGGAGATGATCGTTGTAAACTTGTTATCGATGAAGAAAAGGGCGAGTGTTGTCTTACAATTGATACCACCATGCCATCGGATGCTGGTCGTTATATATGTAAAATTGCTAATGAAGCCGGCGAAACCAAACATGTCGTGTCATTGATGGTTCGAGAGAAAGAAGTGAAACAAACATTCAAGCTTCCTCTCAAAAAGTAAGTAAATGTTGCTAATTATTAGGTAAATTACAATAGTCTACATCAATTAACACCAAATATACTACAGCGACAAGGGAGATCTAATAGTAGGAAGCAAGTGTAGTCTAATGGTAATCCATTAATATTTGTAAATATTAATTAATTTGGCCCCGGAAGACCTTCTAAAGTTTATACCTTCGTAAATCCTCGTGTGGGAATGTATTTTGCTGAAATTATATTTATGAAAAAAAAAAATATTATGACAAACAATTGGATGTGACAAGAATGTTAATTGCATTTACTAACATAAATCCAGATCAGACGGTCTTTAATTTACAAAATAACTGGAACCTGCTTTTGTGTATAAGTAACCTATGTAGGGCGATCGAGTGTGGTGAAAGAAAAAAACATCATGAAAGTTTGATAGTATACTATTTTACATACCGTATTATTATAAATTCAACAAATTACTAAATTAGTAACTTGCAAAATGTAATAGGTTTAATGTTTACTATTTATATTTTTGTCTACTTTCAACAGAAGTACATCTCCCAAAAAGGAACCGACGCCAGCGAAACGTGACAAAAGGGACGTTGATGAAATTCAGGCTGAGATAATTGAAGCCTTGTTACGAGAGGCGCACCCAGATGACTACGAGAGGATACTGATGGAACACGGGGTGTTTGACTTTCGTGCAATGCTTAAGCATATCAAACGAGCACAGAAAACTGAAACAGTCGAAGAAATTGACTGGGGAGTAAGTTATTGTTACGTTTACATTATATTTTTAAAGGCGTGTAATATATTAATATGACAATTTTCCGTTGGTCTCTAATGAACTATAGAATATAAAGGAGGAGCTTTGGTATGATAAGTAAATGCTTGGTGTGGTTATTTAAAAACAGGAATATGGTTTTGAAATAACAAATAGCATTGATCATATCATAGGCCTAATTGATTAAATAAAGTATGTATAAAGAAAATATGGTTTTGAAATAACAAATAGCATTGATCATATCATAGGCCTAATTGATTAAATAAAGTATGTATAAAGAAAACAAGGTTTTGTAATCTCGAAATCAGCAACAAAAAAATAATCAATCAGCCGGGTATTCATCTCATCGGAGCTAAAAAAGGTCTATTAATCAATCAGATGGGTGTTTATAGAGTTTCTTATCGGAATTAAGAATAATAATTGGTCCTAACGGCTGCAACAAACAAGAGCGATCACTCACTGGCCCTCGATTTAAACTGAGGTTTACCTCTATTCAACGTTTAAGGTTTATTTTTTATTTTTATCATTTTATTTAATTTTTGTTGTATTAATTAATATTTTAAGATATTTAAGACCTGGTTGACAAAAAAAATTGGAAGAGCTAATAAGATAGACATTTTTAAATAATTTTAATATTATTTGTACAAGATTAAAATGTCCTAAAATTTAAAAAATAACATGTCTTAAAATTGAAAAGAAGAGACGTTCTATTGCAGTATTCTCGGTCCTCTGCATTCCTCTTCAATCCGTTAAATCTATTCGTGGTAATGGCAGTAATGTACAGTCATTTCTTTGTTTTGTAGGTGTGTAGGGCACACTGGGGTCCAACTTAAAAAAGGGCCATGAACGTTTGTTGGAAATCACCTCTAATTTATGTGTAACAGCAACAACAATAAGTGAGGTTCAGCCGAGTGTTTCTAGAGAATAATAATAATAATAATAATAATAAGATAATCTGAGATTAAAAACCCTCGCCCTGCTGTCGCGCCATACCTTTGAATCCGTGGGGCGAGGATAATAATAATAATAATAATAATAATAATAATAATAATAATAATAATAATAATAATAATAATATTCACGTTTGTTTTCAAGAAATTACGCCATGTTGAAGAACAAGTGACTCCAATATCTCAGCCAGAATTACAAACGGCCGCAGTGACATCTCCTACGATTCTACTGAGAAGTGAAATACCAAAATTACCAGGTATTGCTAAATTTATCTTGCTGTATCAGTTAACATGTTTTTATAATGTTATACATTCAGTTTTAGAATACAAACAAAGACGCGGTATTTGTCAACTTAGCAAAACCTATCCCTGACCATGTTAAATACACATTGATTGAATACAGTGTTTTTGTTGTAAAGTTGTAGAAAATCCTGTTAAATTGATTTAATGTGTAGACATGATAATAAAGGGCGAGTAAGCACAGCGTTTGACTTTTTGGATAAAGCACTTTACTCTAATTGTCTAACTACTAAGGATGTTAGGTTTGCTCATGTGTATAATAAAACATGTATGCAAAAAAAGAAATCAGTTATTCGACATTGGTGAGCACTACATTGCAGTTGCCATCGGTCCGCATGTGATGATCCGAATTTACTTGATGTTGATGTATATAATATACATTTAGATTTATATTAGACAAATATTTACCGTTACCCAGTACAGCAATCTTGAAAAAAGGAGCTGGTACCGTATTGCCATATTTTTATACTAATTCTTTTTTTATTAATATGTTATACGATATATTTGAAATGTATATGTACATGTTTGTTTACATTGCTCTGCAAAATAGTCATTACCGAGTATTTCAATGTGGAGTATAATCACTTTTATGTGTTAACCTATTTTAACGCTTGTTTTGGGAATTTATGATTTTATTTTGTATATACAGATAACAATAAATTGGTAACATTATTATTTCAATAACATTCTAAATTTGAATCACATATTTTAAATATTCTAACCTAGGAATTATTTTTTTAAACATTTAACACATTACTTAACATGTGGACAATAATTAGAGTCATGTTTGTTAGTATGGCAGTTCTACTTATTGGTTTGTTTAAGTGCATGTGATTTATAGTAATAAAGGTGGCTGTAATGGCTCTGTCATATTAATTTATCGTAAAATCCGTCGACATACCAAACATTAATTGGACTAAGGAATGATCGTAGTTTATTGACAGCTAAATGTTTTACATTTTATTGCATAAACACTTTCGAAATAAGTGACTGAAAAATCAAAATCTGTTTCTACTTTCAAACACAAAATAATCGCTTGTTTCGGTCAATTGCATGATAATTCTTCTGCACATTGCTGGTTGAAATGTCCACTAGCGCATGATATCTGAATGAGGTCGCGGTTTCTAGCGTTCCATGTGTATTTTCAGATACAGAAAATGAGAGTGCACAAGAATTAAATTCATATGTTCCCTTGGATACAACTCCTGAATTTTTCTGTCATGTCTCTGATGCTGTCATTAAAGCTGAACTTTTCAAAGACGACATAGAAATCAGAGAGTGTGAAGAACACATTAAACGCGGGGAAGAAAGTCGTCCACAATTGGAGCATGATGTAAAACAAGACGTGCAGGAATCATTTAAAATTAAACCAATAATTGAAAAAGAGGTTGAGGAGGCTATCATCCAGACTGTAACACAAGAAGGGGTAGAAAGTGAATTTAACTTTAAAACAACGAGAGAACGGGCTGATTTTAGTGCTGTAGAAAGTAAAGAAACATTCATTAAGCCAGTAAAACAAGAAAGTGATAACTTGGAAGGTACATTTAAACTTAGAAAGACAAAGAAAATCGAGGCAGAAAAGCATCGAACACCGGTATCGAAAGTCACACAAGATGATGAAGGAGACAGTTCATTCATTATTAAGAGAACTGTGAAAGGTATTTGCATTTCAGATGAAGTAAAGATTTATTTACGTATATACCGTAACAAAACATTGTGTATTATTTCAGTACCAATATCTACCAGGTAAGTTGATATAGGTCAGTCATTATACGATGTTTGAACCTGGACATTTAAATCAGTTAATTAATATCATATCTGTAAGTTAGTCCTTAATACATTTCCACCAAAAATGTATTCGTTTCAGCATGTCCCATCATCAAAACAATGTAAATCAAACAAACAAGCAAGTAAAGTTTATGGTAGTCCAGTTAATTTACATTGTGTAGTAAGTAATACCATTGTAAGTTTGGCCTGCGAAGATAAAATTGCATCACCATCTGCTGCCCATTTCTGCATTTTTTTGTCAACTCCATGGTATCACTGATTGATTTATCTTATGAACAATATTACATTATTCAACATTTTATCACATCTGGGAACTTATTGTCGCCAGCATCTAACCGCTAATAGTATTCACACATATTCTGAAGACAGCACAACTTAGAACACTTGACATTTCGAATCGTGTATTACTTTTATACTAAATTGATGCAACTCGTATGGCTTATGCAGACACTACCTTAGAGAGCTTAATAATTCAAAACTATTCTAATTAACATATTATCGCAACATACTTTATTCAAATAAATTTTATTTTAGATAAATATAAAGTAAAATTATCACCTGGCATAATGCACATATGAATCTCTTAAGGAAATATTATCGCTGGTATTTGTTGAAGTTTACGATGTCATAGAACAAAGTACACGCATTGAGACTTTAATCATTTAAACTGTAGAAAATCAATACGGTAAAAATTACATTCCATACGTATATCGGAATTGACGCTTCACCACGTCATTGCCCATTAGTCAGCATTACAATAGAATGCGCACTCAAGAATGTATTTAATTACAATAATCTCGGAATCTCATACCATGAATAGATCACATACATGTACGTGATGAAATGGCACCTGGAATAAAGATAACCAGCAAACATAATGGTCAACACTATTAGAGATGAGTCAATGGTCAGTTGTTCAGAAATTGAAGAAAAACAAATATACTTGTAATTTCGATGATTAAAAGTGCCAATCTCCCCAACCTAGTGTTAAATAAGTTGAGATCCTTTGCAATTCAGGTGACAAAAATATAAACATCGGCAACTGAGAGACTGCTGAACGCATAGGACATCAAAATGCTTTATTAACGCAGGGTGGTTTAAAAATATACCTCCCTTATAATTCCGTTAATTAAGACGATAGAGCACATTGATGATTTAATTGCTCTTAAACCACACTTCATTGACAGTGGCGTAACAAAGTGCCTTGAAGTCCATGGATTAAACTTCTTTAGGCCTTACTACCATGTAGGCCTGGCCGGGTAGACTACAGTTGGGTAAATGATTTTGCTGGTGAAGGAAAAGGGCCATTTACTGATTTTAATACGAAAGGTATAGGCTAGCCTAGTGAATATTTACTTGGAGATTACAATAAACGATACCTTGATACCTTGTTGTAAACAAAGGTCAACATGACATCTGTGCTTCAATTACTAAAATTTGTTTGCAATTAAACGTAAGCGACAAACGCCGATTTAGTCGTAAGTAATCGATAAACGAAATAGAAGATTTTCTTTTTGCATTTTGGCTTACCTATTAAATCGGGGAAAATACTGTAATCGTGGATTTTGTAATAAAAAATAAGTGAATGACTGCGAGAAATGAAAAAAAAAAGTTTTAGAAATGTGCAATAATGAATGTCATTTATCTAAACATGATGTTCATATTAGCTGCTGCAACGTTATTGAATACTCCATCGGGGAGCTGAAATTGTGTTCAATACGTGTTTAATCATATGACCGGTGTAATGATAATGTGAAGCGCATAGAGGTCTTATCATAATGCGCTATATAAGTCTATCATTATCATTGTCTTATATTGAGGTTATATATTCTTGACTCCTTAATGAAGTTATAGGCCATATTCGTTCGATGTTTTGTGTGTTCGTGTGGGTGTGTGTTTGAATGTATGTTAGCAGCCTCCTGCCTACAGTTTTAGGTCTACACGCGTCATATTTTCACACATGATTTCTGATATTGAAAGGAAGGTTCCTTTCTCTTTTTGTTACGATCCGGAGTGGGGTGTGGATGTGGGGACCACATAAAGAAAAACACTCAACACTAAATGTCTCAAAAACTGATATACTAATCTATACGAAACTTTCTGGAATTATTAACCAAGTTAAAAGGAAGAGGAAGGCATTATTAAATTTCTGTGACGATCCCGATTAAGGTGTAGATTTGGGGTTCATTTAAAGTGCTAAAGTCCCAGACTTAAATATCTCAACAACTCATCATTAGATCTGAATGAGAATTTTTAGGATGCTTTTTCATGGTCCAAGGAAGAAATAATATAACTTATTAATATTATTATCAACCAAGTTTTTGTTGCATCTATATGTTTATAATACATTAGAAGATCATCTATAATCTAACGCCATAGTGTGTCAAATTATATTATTTAGAGAATATATGTATGTAGGTGTGTGTAGGGGGTAGTGTAGGGGTGTATGTGCGTAATTTTAAGTGTGTGTTTGCATGACATGCATGTCATTCCATCTGTAGAATTTTAGATATTTAAAAATTTACTTTATTCGAAACCATTTCAGAGCCTCCACAAATCAATCGTCCATTGCGTGATATCTATGTGAAGGAGAACGACACAGTGACTCTTGAAGTGATTCTCTCGTCAGAGGCAGACGCAAGGAACGTCACGTGGTTAAAGGATGCACAGGAGATTACCCCAGGCCCCAAATTCGAGATATCACAATCTGGTACAACGTTGACTCTCACTCTAAAAGACGTTAAGCCCAGTGATCATGGAAACTATACAGTGGTTGTAGGTGATGTTAAATCATCGGCAACAATTAACATCGAATGTAAGTAAAAATGCATAGGCATTTCAATTTTTTAAGGTAACTAATTATTATGCCGTATGGCAAAACAATAAAAAACTACTAATTTCATTTGCTTTTTTAAGATTATAAAGCAGATTATTGAAGGGCATCAATGTGTCTTTTTCTATTAACGATACATTATATAACGAATGAATAATCACAATATGTCACCCAACAGCTTTAGAATTTACGGCTCGTATTGAAGATATCGATGTGACTGAATTTGATGAAGAAGTAAAATTCCAAGCGCAGTTATCATCCAGTACAGCAGAAGTCATGTGGTTAAAGGATAATACACCTATTGTTGACAGTTCAAAATATAAGATGGTCGTATCAGGAGATTATCGCACACTTGTTATTAAGGATATAAGACCAGAGGATGCGGGGAAATATACATGCGTTGTAGGTGAAGTAGAGTCATCAGCAAATTTGAATATTGAAGGTAATTTTAAAGCAGGAACTAAATACAATCACTTAAACAATAATTAAAAGTATATTATATGAAAAAGAAACCTCAGTGGTGTGCGTTAAGTGGTGTATTTATGTAGGTGCACTGGAGGAGCAGCCCCGCCCTTCCCTTCAAGAAAACTCGCGCCCCCAGTCGGCTCCCACGCCCAAGTAGTTAGAAATCACTTCATACCATAAATAAACAGAGCCATTAGTGTATTACTGGTACATTTATTATTATTATTATTATTATTATTATTATTATTAGTAGTAGTAGTAGTAGTAGTAGTAGTAGTAGTAGTAGTAGTAGTAGTAGTAGTAGTAGTAGTAGTAGTAGTACTAGTAGTAGTAGTAGCAGTAGTAGTAGTAGTAGTAGTAGTATTACTATTATTATTATTATTATTATTATTATTATTATTATTATTATTATTATTATTATTGATGGATACTTTCATAACGATTTAAGAAAACTTATATTTACTTTTCAAAAAAATCTTACTCAACTGCAATAATCATTAAAATAATACATAACTATCTGAATAGAATATTATCGCCCACCCTTTTAGATCCTCCTAAAACGCAAACGCAACCTTCTTATCTCAATTTACATTATACACCATTATCCAACTATTGCCAGCGAAAAATCAACACTATAGCTAAATATTAATGCTCTAATATTAATGTTAAACTTGCTTTTAAATCATATAATTTTTAGTAATGTAAAAGATGTCCCAACTTATCTTTGAGCCGAGTTGTCTACATCTTTACTTGCGCGGTGTGTAACTCCGTATATAGGGCTATATTGGTGAGACTAATAGACACCTAAAAACACTGGCAAAGGAGCACTTGGTTCGGGATAAGTTCTCACAGATTTTTAAACGACTTTAAAACTCCGTTAAATGCAAAAGCATATCTAATTCAGACTGTTTTACTATTCTTGATTCCACACACAATAACTATGAACTTATAATAAAAGAAGCCCTTCACATTGCTTGGGAAAATCCGTCATTGAACAAACAACTCATTACAATATCAATTCTTTCATTCATTCACTTTCATTCTAATTGACTGACTACAGTATTCACTTTTTTACTTTCATATGTTTTATTAGATGCATTACTGCATTTGATTTATTATTATTGTTATTATTATTATTATTATTATTATTATTTGATGATGATAATGATGATGATGATTGATGATGACAAAGATGATGGTGGTGATTTAATATAACAGTGTATTAGATACTCAACTGATTTTTTTTTCTTCGACTAAAACTTGTTATCTTTGGTAAAAATTGCTGATAATATTATTAGTGAATAGAAGGTTATTAATTCCTGGTATCATTTTATTTAGTAACAAAGTTTACCACACCTCTGGAAGATGTAACCGCTGCTGAGTTTGAGGAATCGGCCTTGACTTGCCAAGTGTCACATCAACAGGCATGTGTTACATGGATGAAAAACAACGAAGTTATCACAGAAAGTCCTAAGTACTCTTTCGTTGTCGATGGATGTCAGAGAAAACTAATAATTAAAGACGTTGACATGACTGATTCTGCTGAATACTCATGTGTGTTTAAAAATCAAACATCTTCAGCAACATTGGTAGTTAAAGGTACGTTGGTGTCATTATTAAATATTACCACTGTATAATTGAAAAATAAGAACCAACAAAAGCATAGACCTATTATTATTCAACTTGCATTTTAAGAATCATAAAACAAACTATGTTCTTAGAAAAAAAAATGTTAATGTTATTAGGATACCATCTTGGTTGATTAAATTATTTTACCCTTTTGATAGGAACACATTTCACAAAACAGTTAAAAGACACTGAAGCAAATGAATTTGATGACGTGAAGATAGTCTGCGAGGTCTCACATACCAAAGCAAATGTTATTTGGCGCAAAGATGGAAAACCTTTAGAGGCCGATGAACGAATCAAATTTATCGTTGACGGCAAGAAGCGCGAATTGATAATTCGTGACCTGACGGTTGATGATGAAGCAGATTATACATGTGTGACATCTGAACATTCGACGACTGCAGAACTGCTTGTTTCAGGTGAGACTTAACCAAAGTTAATGGAATAGCACTGTAAGTTGAATACGCCTACTTACGTTAGTTTTCACTTGCCACTTTAATTTTATTCAATTAAAATTATTAACTTAAAACTTCATTAACATTCAAGTACAATTAATTTGTAAATATGGTGTATTGATGCAATGAAACAACTGTTATTGAAAGTTTCTGTTATTGATTGAAGCTTCATTTTGATTATAATGGTGAAGTGATGCTGATGAATTTTACTATTATGAAAGTGTCAATTCCTGCCATCTAGAGGTATTGTTTTCTCAAATTTTCGCATTTCAAAGAACCATATTGGGGCTGAGGTGTGTGTGGTGTTACGACTTTCCCCATACCTTTCAATACAGATCTCCGCCCTTGTCTACGTGTGCATAATAATGCTTAGTGATTAATTTCTTTGAGCATAAGTGTTTTTCTTTACTATTTTTTATTTTGGTTAAAATTTGAAGTGTCGAAATATCTATTACAGAATGCACTTTCACAACTCAGCTTCAGGACGTTGATGTACTTGAATACGAGTCTGCTGTTATGGAATGTACTGTCAGCAATGCTAAAGCAAAAGTTCATTGGAAGGCAGATTCCAAACTCATAGAGGAGAGTGAAAAATTCACATTTATTGTTGACGGAAAGAAACGTGCTATTCGTATAAATGATGCCAGAATCAGCGATGATGCAGAGTACACTTGCACCATTGGTGCCGAAAAAACAACTGCCGGATTATTTGTTGAGGGTAAATTTTAAATACATAAGAAAAACTATTTTGTTTTATCTATATAGTTTATCTGGGATTCTGACACGAAAAAAGTTTATTTCCAGATTTATCATGTGTATTTTTGTATTGTGTATAGCATGCTAGTAGTGTAATAGACCGAGGCTGTGCAATTTAATTTTTTCTTTATATTTCCGGTTTTGATCCTCAAATAGGAACAACATTTGTAAAGAAACTTGCTGATACGACCGCTGTAGTTGGTGAGAATATTGAATTCGTATGTACAGTTTCTCATGAGAAAGCAGATGTAAATTGGACGAGAGATAAAACCGAAATAAAAGCAGATCTCAGGCACAACATTACAGCAGATGGTAAAACAAGAAAACTTACAATAGTCAATGCGAAACCTGAAGATGAGGGAGATATTAAATGTACAATGGAAACTGATGAAACAATGGCTGAGCTGTGTGTTGAAGGTAAATAATGTAAATGATGATAATTAAATAAATATAGCTAGTTGGATACAAAACATATATATAAATTTCTTTACTTACAATCGATTCAGCTTCACGGATAAATTGATCGGCATTTACAATAGTGAAGTAAAAAATTAAAACAATTTCAAACTATACTTACCGTGTACGTTTGTAAAATAGAACATAAGGTTTTCCTCGTTTCCACAATGAGAAATGATGTTTAAATTACAAAAAAAAAATCATCAAAAAAAGGATAAAGTAAAAAATAGGCCTAGACGAAAAAGCAAATATAAAACATCCTAAGGAAAATTATGAAGTAATACAAAAATACACGACAACCAACTCGAAGTCAGTGAGACTCGAACTATGGCTGTAGAGTTAATATCGAGGGTGATGTTGAGAGTTTTACCATTACGCCAAAAAATCCCGACCCTGTGGAAGTCATTGCATTTTTTTTAGTTCTTCTACCTTTCAGAATTTTCTAAGTCTGTAGTAAAATTGTACATGCATTGCACGGTAATTTTACGTTTAAACCAGCTGTAGCTAGTTCAAAACGCTTTAGAAAACGAACGTCTAATTAACCGTTTATTAATATTCAAAATATGTAAATTGACGTCGCTGTCTTGCGGTAATGCTGTAAATATATATAAATAAATTATAAACTTCAAAGAAGAGGAATCTGCAAGTGTGAGAGTGATCCTTATTTACTTGTAAAACATCTCTTCGTCGATCTCGTCTGGTTGTCTTGCTGATAAGAAGAGGGCGTATCATGTTGATATATGTTATTTGTCATGCATAAAGGACTAAAGCTGTCTAATGCGCATGAATGTGGAAGATTCAATCAGATATGAATAACCAACTTTGTTGGTTGAGACGTCTGCATAGACAGCAGGAGGTCCCGGGTTCGATTTCCGGTTGGGCACTTATTTTTTCACACTCGCAGATTCCTCTTTAACGTTTAAAATTGATTTATATTTAATACAAATGTAGTATTGCATTTAATAAGAATAAACATTTTGTACCACGATATGTTTTGACGGCATCGACCATCATTATCAAGTGTAATCAAAACGGCTAGAAACGCTAAGCTTATATAGAACAAAGGGATAATAATAGGATACGGTGATTCAGTTAGACCAATGGGAAGACAGAATGAATGAAGCTGCTAAATAGTTAAAGTAATGTTGAAATGTTACATCTGCTTATTTAAATTAGAATTTTCCCCCTAAACAACAGAAGCCTCTCTGTTTATATACTTGTTACGGATTAATTTATTATCCAATGGGGGATTACAAATTGGGGCTAAAGCGGAACCTAACTAACCTAACACACTACTCACGTGGGACGGAATGTGCGCACTTGCGAATGTTCGGGATATAAAAGTGGTCAGTGAAAAAATGAAAATTTAATTCGTCGACAAAGTTCAGTTCAGGCAAATGTCTTCCAATGAATGTTCAAAATCGCTTTCACTTACGATAGTCGGGTTGCACTTGGCACTTGGTATTAGCAAATCAAGTTGGTTCTTTTGATCCAAGTCAAAAATAGTAAAGTAAAAAATAGTAATTATTCTTCCTTTTAAATTCAGGTAAATCAGAAGAAAATTCACATTAATTCTAAGTCCGACTTTATGATTATACTTCCATGTTCTGGATTTCTGATCGGGATCTCCCAGTGTTTCTTCTTCTCTGCTGTGTCTTTTTTTCGTATTTCCTTGGATATGTTGGGTATATGTAGGGAGAATCTGGCTACAACCTACCCATTCAAATACTCAATTATTATTGGTCCTTTAGCCTCAGGCAACACCCAAATTCACTGTTCATTCCCTCTTCCCTGTGTCCGGTAATACACAATTTGATGTTGACAATGTATTTCCTACACCGGACCACAGGTATGTACACAGCATAACACCACTTAACTCCCGAGAGAGGGTTAGCTGGTGATAACTTTTTGACTACGGAAATTGAATGTCCGATGGGTTACCCACATACAGGCTAGAACAGTATTGCATTGTATAGTGTCTTGGGATACGGGATACTGTATTAAATATAATTAGAAATATACAATAAAGTTACTTAAGATTAACTAAAAAAATACCAAGAATACACCCTACTACATTTATAAGTAAGGCTTGATAAACTGACTCATAGGAGAGATATTATTAAACAAAACGCATGAATATAAAGACATACTTGGTCAATGATGGACTGGTACTCATAGAAACAAAAGCAAAATTAAAACAATAACAATGTCGGATCCAATAGTGTAAAAAGAAAAGCCGCCAGGGCGTACAATATGAATCTAAAGATTACGATATACTGTATACATATATATTATCGGAAATAAGTTTGTAACGCAGAACAAATCGATGTTAGTCTTTGACTCCTGGAACAGAAAATTTTATTATATTTCGAACGCGCCGGCGTTCCTCTTCAGTGCTACAACATGGGCAGATGCAGATTTGTATCTAGAGTGTAGCGCAAGGGACGGTTCTCGCGATTTATATCTTATCTGAATATAGCACACTTGGTGGGTGTGTAGTGATTATTTGGCCGCTGCAGGGCGGATATATGTATCTAAAAGAATTGTCGCAAAGCAAACAATGCAAATCTGTGTTTTTAAAATAGATCAACTGAAAGGCCTAACTAGTAGTTGTGCGTCAAAATGCTGGCCTCCTTCAGCCCCTAGGCCTGGGCCCTGGGGCTTAGGTACTAGATTTTTATTGATTTAAAATGGCAATACGCAGCTTTTTTGAATAATTAATAGGCTCTGCAAGGTATAAGGCTAAGGCCTAGATAGATGGCCATTGCCATAAAATCATTGATAATACAATAGAATAGCAAGTGTTTACATTACCTCAACATGCTGACCTAGGCCTAGCTAGCAGCTCATACGCACGGTTTTACAATCGGATTTCGAAGAAAACAATAATAAAATTCATGTTACAAGCCTTCTATACTCCTAGCACTATTTAATACCAACATCGCTATCTTCGCAACGTTAAAATTGTAAATATTGGGCAATTTTACTCGTCGTATTAAAAAGCATTACAATGGTCTTATGCCTAAATTATCATTACTGGATGCTAAGACACTGTGAACTCCTTGAATAAGTCGAGCCAAAATGACAATGAGAGATGTGTTTATCATAGATTCCAACTGTCCCGCTTTTGGCGGGATTGTCCCACTTTTCGGAGTCGTGTCCCGCGGTCCCGTCCAAACCCCGAATTGTGCCGCTTTTCAACTTTTATAAATAAATAATAATCACCAAGACTGAACTCCCGGAATATACTCTGAAATCTATGGCCCTCACAGACGACGAGCCGTGCTAATATAGAGATAATAGCGATACGAAAGAGATATTTATTAGTTTAAATAATTTATGTTTGTTTATTTTTTTATTGTTATTATACTTTAGGGCTTCCCGCAGTTCCTTTATCGATTCGTTTTTTTCTTGATGCGATGTTTTTCTTCATTTTTCATTTCTGTATGTTCTGTATGTTGTATTTGTATAAAGTGATATATATATATATATATATATATATATATATATATATATATATATATAT